GAATTGTTGAATGTGAAACTGATGATGTGCCCTGTAAACTTTCACTCAATTCACAATAAAAACCTTAAATTTAAAAAAATAAAATATTGAGATTAAGAAAAAAAAAAAAAGGATGAATCAAGGTACCACTGAATCAGTCAAAAAATTAGCTGCAAGTAACAGAAGTAGTAGACTCAGGGTGATCAAAGCAGAAAAGTTTATTAAAAGGATCCAGTGAACAACCCAACACACTGTGAATGTGGGTCATTCTATAAAAACAGTCAGTGCCTTGGAACACAAACAAAACGGGTGTCTGGGCTGGGGCAGTTGCTGATCACAAGATACATAACCAAATGTAATGTATAAATCTTGATAAGAGCCTGAACCAAAAGAGGAAATAAAAGAAAGAAGAAGAAAAAAAAAAAAAAGCTGTAGAATATACTTTTGGGGACATGGGGATAACTGGGGAAATCCAAATATTTGTTACATATGATGATGACAAGGTGCATCCTAGTCTTAGGAGATGTAATGCTGAAGCATTTAGTGAAAAGAGTTATTATGAAAATTGAAACTTAAGTGCAAATAAACAAAAATATAAACATGAGGGGGCTTCAAAAAGTTTGTGGAAATAGAATGAAAAGATAATGGAATGTTCCCACGAACTTTTTCAAGCCTCTTTGTATTTATATGTGTGTGGTGAGAGAAGTACAGAGAAGTATAAAGAAAGTATAGAGAAGTATATGGAAGTGGCAAGAATGCATCAAACAATAGGTAAATCTAGGCAAAGTGTATATGGGTATTTATTGTACTATGTTTTTCACTATGTCTTACAGATTTGAAATTTTTCAAAGTGAAATTTTGAGATAGCCATATAAAAACAAATAATTTTCTAGTTTTTAAAAAAGGGTTGTGTGGCTCATTAGACTTGTTGAGAAGGATGAAGAACCAGGCTTACTGGTGACACCTAAAACTCCTCCAAAATGAGACTTCTGCCAAGCATCCAACACTGGCTTGGGGTGCTGCCACTTTGGTGCCAAAGATTTAATTCTGAAGTCATTGCTGCTTTGCTCCAGAGTCTCGTCCCTTTGTGTGTGCTTTTCAACACTGGCTGTTCAACACTACTGTTATCACCTGGGGAGTTTTAAAAAATAATGATACCTGGGCCCCAGGCATCTGCTTTCACTGATTTGTGGTGGAGCCTGGGCTCCTCAGGTGATTCCAATTAGTAATGAATGACTAATTGATATGAAAAACATTTCAGAATTGGTGGCTCCACCTTCTAATACAGCGTCTTTGTTAGTGTTACTACATGAATTGTCACATGGTTTTAAAGGCTCAGCTTAAGCAATTAACTTGGAAGTGCCAAAATATCTTCTAAAGGGAAGATGTGAAATAGTCATATCCTGGTGAAAAACAAAAGCTTAAATGACCAGATAGAATTGTAAACAATGAATGCTGGGATTGCAAAAGTAAAAGGTCTGAGGTATTTCCATTTTAAATAGTTCCCATTAGCAGGAATGATAATGGCTGATGTATACCAATGTCCAAGCAAATGACTAAGCTATCCCAAAGACTGAGGGCATTAATATTTTGAGCTTTGGGGATATTACAAAAATGGGGAAGCAGCCAGTCCATGCTTGTCTGAGCCTTCCTCCTTGGCCTCTCCCATGACTTTGGGGAAAAAACACTGGTGGTGTTGAATGTGTAGCAAAGTCCTAGTTCATAAAAGGGCAACCTCTTCAGGGATTGTGGAAAGTTTAGGTGGAGGGAAGATTGAAGTTCCCATTTCACTAACACTATGGTGGTGGTGGTAGTGTGGCAAGGAGTTGGTTCCGACTCATAGCGACCCTTCATAGGGTTTTCAAGGCTGTAAATCTTTATGGGCGCAGATAGCCTCATCTTTCTCCTGCGATACAACTGATAATTCTGAACCTGACTCGTAACCACTAAGCTACCAGAGCTCCTTGTCTAACACTACGGTCAGCAAAACAAACAAACGATAAAAACCCCAAACCCCTGAAACTTCATAAATACTCAACATGGTTTCAGAGCAAAAGTACTGGTGGAGAATTCTGAGGACTGCTTTTAGCACTTCCGTGGGTCATGGAAGAGAAAACTCTGTGATGAGCAGGTAGAGGCAGCAAAGGAAGGAAGCCTAGCCAACCAATATGGTGGAAACAGAGAGAGGCACCAGCTAGGATTGAAATAAGCAAATTTTAAAGACCTCTGCCCCTCACGTCTCAGAACTCTTCATTCTCCAACCTCTGGGACTCAATACAAAACTGCTTTCACCCAAGGACTTCACCAAGGGACCAGGTGTTTTCCCTGCTAGAAAGTAGAATAAGGGCCTTGCTTCTGCCCACTGCCAGCTATAGAGTGAGACAATGTGAGAGGGAAGGTTTAAAAAGTTTTTTGAAAAATGCCATTATCTTTTGATTCAATTTTCCCCCGAACTTTTGAAAGCCCCGTTGTATATTCAGATATTCCCATTTGAAAGCCTGAGCAAACTTCTCTATAAAAATTCCATGAAATGTAGTAGATAAGATTCAGATTTATTTTGGGTCTAATATTAGACTGGCCCATATCTCTGTGCTATCCAGTATGGGAGCCACTAGCCAATTACTATTTGAAATGTGGATAGTGCCACTGGATAACTAAAATGGTAATTTAATAATTAAAATAGCTACTTGTGGCTATTAGCCACCAATTGAACAGTGTAGTTCTAATGCCTCATGGGTCAGAACCAGTGGTTTCGTCAGGACATTTCTCTGATCACTGAGAGAAGGGGGAGGGTGCAGAAAGAGAAGAAAACTGTCAACACTTTGGGTCACTTCAACCAGATTGAAAATTCTCCATGCTTCCAGAGACAGGATGGCACCACCCGCTTGCTGTGAGGGGTATGAGGGAAGGACACCTGAGGAGACTTCAGCCTGCCCTTCTGACTTGTGGCTAATGCCAATGGGGGGAAAAGGCCTAGGATTTGGGTCACTCAGGATGAAGTTTATGGTTCAACACACAAAACCAGAGACTTGGGCCACTCTTGGGGTCAACTATTCATGGAGATCACCAGTGTGGCCTGGCTGGCAGTGAACAGGAAGTGGGAGGGCTCATCTTCGGACAGTGTTACCAGAGCCAGAGGAGGATTTAGAGCTGGAGGAAACGGGGGGCCCTTTCTGGGTACCTGCAGGCTGCATAGGCCCTTTCTTTTTGGGTATTATGGCCTTGTTTTTGCTCTTGAATACTTTGCTGGGATCCAGCTTGTTCACAAAGCAGTCAGTCTCTTCTGTGAGCAGGTTTGAGTTGTAGGTGATGGGTTTATACATGTTGAACCATTGCTGTAAGGCAGAATTGAGAGAGAAGGTCATGAATCAATGGAGAAATGCCAATCTCTATGCTACTTAGTGAAGCAAAAGAAGAACAGAAACATGGGGACAGGGAGCTGGGGAGATGCAGCTGAGAGAACAGAGGGATTTTTTAATGAAAATTGCCTTGCAAATTGATTAGCACTTACTTGAAATCGTAGGGAGGACATAGCCATGAAACTCTAGTAAGAAATACATTATGATTTCAGATGTTCAGTATGCTTTAATGTAAATGCTGTTAGGGAAGACTCTGAGTAAACTCCCTATGTCTGATCTAGTGAACCCTAAGGCTGGGGTGCTGCATCTCCAATCACTGGGAGGCAGGATCCTTTCAGTTGTTCTGCCCTCAACTTAGCTGCTCCTCACCAGTGAATTTGGCAGTACCCTCCCCGAGAGACCAGCTGCCAGGGTTGGGGTTCCCTTCTAGGTAGCTGAGGACAAAGTACCTCCACATCTACTGATATTTCATTGATCACCACCACTTCCACGACGGTGGCCAAGAGGATGTTATCATTCTGTTGACACTTGAGGAACATGTATAGGTAAGGAATGTACTCTAAGATAGAGTGTTACGTGAAAAGACTAGGAAGTGGAACAATGTAAGTAATATTTTGCATTTATTATTCAGGAAAAAGGAAACAAAAACAGTTCTGTACACATGCAGGCTGTACACTGGTAGCAGTGACTGCCTCTAGGGCAGTGTGATGGTTGTGAAGGTGGTGATGGTGATGGTGATGGTGGTGGTGGTGGTGGTAGAGCTGGTGATAGAAGTGATGGTGGTGGAGGTGATGGTGGTGGTAGAAGTGGTGGCAGAGGTGGTGGAGGTGGTGGTGATTGTGGTGGTGGTGGTGTTAAAGGTGGTGGAAGTGGTGTGCTGTCGAGTTAGTTCTGACTCATAGCAACCCTGTATAGGGTTTCCGAGGCTGTAAATCCTCATCTTTCTCCTGCAGAGTGGCTAGTGGATTTGAACCACTGGCCTTGCTGTCAGCAGCCCAACTTGTAACCCATTACACCCCCAGAGTTCCTAGGGAAGTGCACTAGCAGGTTGGAATCAGAGACTTTTCGTTCTTTTTCTGTGTATGTGCGGCCTATCTCAATCAGACTTAATTCCCATCTCCAAAGACAATTTTATTAGAAATAAATGTGCTCCCCAGTTGAGTCTGAGATTCAGCCAGGTTTGGGAACCACTTAACTAGACAGGTATAAAGGGAGGCAGTCCACCTATGCTGGAATCAGCTGCCTAAATGAAAATGCAGGTGCTGAGCTCTACCCCTGACTTTCTGAATCAGACAGAGAACCTGGGACTCTGCAATTTAACCATGTCCTCAGATTCTTGACACACAGCACAGTTTTGAGATGACAAGTGTCTTTCACTTACCTTGGCCTGGGGACTAATGCCATAGTTGGTGAAGGCATACTGCCACTGGGGCAGACCCAGGTGGGTGATGAGCAGGCGATAATAGGCGGTAAAGGTATCCGTGAGAAAATGCCAATATAAAGCTCTGTCCAGAAACCAGACCTCAGTGTCTTGTGCTAATGCTGAAATAGTAGACAAAGGAAATAAAGGATAAAGGATGGCTTAACACTTACCCCTTTATCCATATAATTATATGTTGTTAAGCACCATTGAGTCGGTTCCAGCTCATAGTGATCCTATATAGGTTTCCAAGGAGCAACTGGTGGGTTTGACTGTCAACCTCATGGTTAGCAGTCAAGTGTTTATCCTAAAGTTCCATACCAGGACTCCAAAGTTATATGTATTCATGGTTTTAAAAAAAGCCCAGTAGTAGAAAGAATATAAAATAAACAGTAAAAGTTCCTTCTTTTTTCTTCTAACCTCCTAGTTCCATTCGCCAGTGGCCACTGCTACCAGGTTCTTTGGTACTCTACATATTTTTTCAGTAATTGATCAGTTAATTGATCATCTGTTGGGCTTTGTCCATCAGGTAGTGCACCCCTTCAGTGCAGGTGATCAGCACTCTTCCCCCAGTGCACACACACTGTGGCCTCCGCTTTCCTGATGGAGAGAAACTCTGAACGGTTCTGGCTTTTGTGGCGAGGTCTCTCTCAGAACTCAGTCAGAAGTGCTGTGAGAAGCCACCGTGGAGAAGGCCAGCCTACTCTCCCAGGCTGTTGAGTGATGTCCTGGTAGAGCTACTCCTGACTGTTTCTCTTTCTGACCCTATCCTTATTCATCTGTGTTTAGCTAGCTGTAATAGCTGCTAAGTGACCTCTATCCTCTGATCTCTTCCTCTTCTCTAACTGCTTGTGATCACATAAATTTTCAATGGAATCCTGTCATTTTCCTGCTACACAACTCCCTACTGTCTTCCGTATTGTGTCCAAATTCCTTTACCTGGTTTTCAAAGTTTCTTAAGACACACACACAAAAAAGATCAACTGGTTTACTAGCTTTGTCTCCTCTTCATCCACAAGGTGAACTATTCAGTCCACTGAACTGACATTTTCAGTCTCCTGAATCATTGTACTTTCACATGGCACAGGTTTAACCCTTTGCTTGGATGTTGCCTTTACTCCATCAAATCCCTGTCACTTCATAGTTAACTCCTACATAGTGGGTGATGAGTTGGGCTGCTAACCAAAAGGTCAGCAATTCAAATCTACCAGTTGCATCTTGGGAGAAAAATTAGGCTTTTCTCCCTCATAAAGATTTATAGCCTCAGAAGCCTTATACAGGGTTGCTGTGAGTCGAAACTGACTCCATAGCACACCACCAACACCACCATAGTTCAAGATGTAGCTGGAAATGATTTCTCCTCCTCTGAGGACCAATGCATCCTTCCTGTGGCACTGAGAGAATATAGGCCATAAATTCTGGTGTCTGCATCGTCTTAGCTCTCCCAGGCAGAGCTACTAGAAGAGGTACAGCTTGGCAGATCCACAGTCCCTAGTCTCGGACCTGGGCTGCTAATGGGGGAGCAGGTGTTCCAGCTGCTGCTCAAGGGGCCAAATCTTTTTCTCTTGATTTCCTATATGGGGTTTTAGATTGAGAGCTAAATTCAGGTTTTCATTGCTATGAATTAGTCTGCTAAATCTGAAGCATAGAACAAAGAGAGCATGCTTCCTGGATGTTTGTCTAACACCTGAATCTGCTGGAGGACTATATAACCAGATGGGTATTTCTTTTAGCTTGTACACACCTATTATCCTAACTCCATAGACTGTTTTGTGGTAACTCATAAATGATAATGGAGGACTGAAGAGGCTTTCTGGGTCTTGGCACCTCCAGGAGACCTGGCAGAGTCTGAGGAGGCCACAGAGGAGAGTGCTGTTTGTGATGGCTGGCAAGCAGCCAAGGCCATATTCAAACTACAGGACCAGACTTGTATAGGATTCTTACCTGGTTTCCCGTGTTTGTAGACAAGGCAAACCTTCCCATTTCCATTGCAAGAATCCAGCTCAAAGATCACACTGCGGGAGTCAAAGTGAGGCTTCTCTGGCTGGTCGTCATTGGCTGCAAACCCAGAAGGGAATGGTAATGTTCAAAGGTACTCATTACAAACACGCATTTATTCATCCAGCTTGCTAGGATGAAAACAACAGCATATTCTTAAATATGATTTCCAAATGTGGGCCAAATGAATTCTGTACCCTAAATGTTCCAGCTTTCATCCATGGAATCAGCCTACTGTCTGGGCCCCACATTACTAATCAACAGTGTTACTGAATCTAGGGGGAAGGTGGCATGTATGTGTAAACCAAACATTTGGGATCTGGGACTAAATAAAAAAATAATAATCCGGTGGCCTGATATTGACATATTTTTTTTCTTTATCCCAGATAACTCGCTTCCTCCTCATTTATATAGGCTTTTGATTAGAATCAATGTTTCTCTGTCTAATATGCCTATTTATTATATTTAATTATAATGTTGTTAGGTGCCACTGAGTTGGTTCCAACTCACAGTGACCCTCTGCACAACAGAATGAAACGCTGTCTGGTTCTGCCTTATCTTCACTACTGTTATGCTTGAGCCCACTGCTGCTGCCACTGTGCTAAATCTGGTCAAGTTGAAAATACCTACTTAGAAACCAAATAGCATAGAGCATCAGAGAAGACAAATTCTTACAAATGTACACATTAGAAACCTTCTTTCTGGCATCTTCATTATAGTTATTACGTAATAAAGATTAGTATGATGAGTTGGGTGTGGGGTGATTCATAAAACTAAGAGATTAGATATTCCATACAAAAAATTAATTATTTATTAATACATAAATCCATACTCTTCTGGTGTGGCACTGTAGGATCAGCACTGGACTGTTAATCACAAAGCCGGTAGTTCAAACCCACCAGCCACTCCTTGGAAACCATATACAGGGTCGCTATGAGTCAGAATCAACTCGACAGCTCTTACCAGTAACAAGTTTATAAACATACTTGTTTATATATATATGTATACATACATATGATTCTATATAAATGTACAAATATTTATATTTCTAATTAAAATATTTTTTAATTGGATTTCTTCTGCCACAAAGGTAACACTTTTATATTCTTGATCTCATATGGTCCTAGACAAACATAGGAATACATTTAAATTTTGTCTTCAGGATTGTTTATTGTATAAGAATGGGGGTATCTTTGATTTATTCTAACAAATCTATTTGTACATTTCTTTGGATTTCCTAAGAGAAAATGATGTCATCTGTAAATAAGGACTTAGGTCTGCTAGTTGAGTTATCCTAGAAAGCATGAACAGAGCAGGTGCCCGAAATGCTTTATCCCCTTGGGTATATGGGACAATATGGTGCCTACCTCTTGAACTCTGTTGCCTACTTTTACTCTTTCAGCTTCCAGGGCAGAGCAGACTTAGCTTCCCTCCTAGGGATTAGAAAGCCCCAGCACAAACACATGAGGCCAATAGGACCTCCTCCCCATCTCAGTCACTTTCAACATTTACTCATGGAATCCTTGGGTGATGTTTTCCAATTGCTTGCCCAGTTGAAGGAAAAGACCTTGAATTCTTTCTTGCCACCAGGATTTCAATGAACCCTAAGGTCTTAGTATAGAAGAAAATCCTAGTTGCCTATTCAATATTCATTCTCTCTTTCTTAGTAATAAAGCCCTAATTTTGTTTGAGGAGGCATTCATGGTGGTGTTAGTGCCACGGAGCCCATTCTGACTCAAAGCTACCCCGTATAGGGTTCCCAAGGGTGTAAATATTTGTGGAAGCAGAAAGACTCATCTTTTGCTCAAGGAGCAGTTCGTGGGCTTGAATCACCCACCTTGTGATTCACAGTCCAGTGTTTATCCTACAGAGCTACTGGGCTCCTGTTTTTGTTTGAGGGCGGCACTGGTACATAGCCAAAAATACTCACCTCCTCAGTCTCCCCGCTGGTTGTCCTGTTCTGGCCAGTAAGATATAACCAGAAGTCTATGGGGAAGGATGTTTGGGAAAACTATCATTTTCTTGATAAAATGGGTCAGAGTCTTTCAAAAGACACTTATTTATTTTTTGACGTTTATTCTTTTTTCCTGCCTGGAACAGAGATTGGAAGCCTGGAGGCAGAGCTGACATTACTCAGTCATGAACATGAAAACCAAACCCAAAGTCTAGTGTTCCAGGAAGCCAGAGGAAGACTACCAGTGACTTTCTCATGCAGCTGTACCAGTTTAGTTCCAGATTTTTTGTGAGGAAACAAATAAACGGTTGAGTTTAGACATTGTAGTTGGGGCCCTGCTTTTATGCCATCAAATATGGTTCTGATAGAAGTCCACACTCATACTTAGGGACTCATCGGGTTTAGCATCCATTTCACTCATGAACCACTTCACTCAGAAGTGGCAAATAGTTGTAGGCAGGAAAGGAGCCATGTTCCCGGAATGCTCTAGAGAATGTAATGTTGAGTGAAGTTTGAATTACAACCTTCATTCATACACCAAGTATTGACTGGGTACATACTGTGTGCCTTTGTGTTCCTGCAATGACTAACAGCCTTGGAAACCCTATACAGATTCGCTATGAATCAGAACTGACTCATGGCACTTAACAACAACCACAAGTTATGTGCCAGGTATTGATTTGGGTGCTAGGAACAAAACAGATAAAGATCCAAATACTGGCATTTTCTTCATGAAAATTTCCTTTTTTGGTGTAGACCATTCTTTACTTATTCCTGGGCTTCTAAGAAGACACAGGAAGCATGACAGTTCTGTAGGATAAGTACTGGACTACGAGCCACAAGGTCGGTGGTTCAAACCCACCAAGACACACTGTGGGAGAACGATGAGGCCTTCTGCTCCTGCAAAGATTACAGCCAAAGAAACCATATACAGGGCTGCTTTGACAAAGATGAAAAAGGAAGGAAGGAGGAGAAGAGAAGGAGGAGGGGGAGCAGAAGGAGGAGGAGAAGAAGACATGGATGGTAAGACTTTTGGTTTGGAGGAATATATGACAATGTCTTTCCATGGTCTCCAATAGTGTAAACAAGAAACAAGCAGAATGAATTCTAACCCAAAGCAGAAGTTCCTCTAAATACCTTCATCCGGATCATCCTCCAGGTCTGCAAGAGTCGGTGCATTAGGAAGTGAATACATGGAAGACTGGTTGAGTTGAGTCAGTTTCGAGATGCTGTTAATTGCCATGCTGCCCAATGGAATGATGTTCTCTATGGGAAAATTGAAAAAGAGTTACATGGAGTAACAGCCTAGTCACAACTTTCAGCAAAGGGCTTCTGCTTAATTAATCTAAAACCCAACTACTGGTTGGTCTCAGGACTAAAGAAGTGATGGAAAGAAAAAAAGAAAGAGTCACTGCATTACATGCCCCAGAGCACCAAAAGGAAAAACAACAACAACACACAAAACTACTGGGGCATTGGGTGAGCCCCCACTGCATGTATGAGTGTAGAATGTTGGAATATGTGCGCAAGGGGCCCCATTTGAAAGGTAAAAGATTTTAGAACATTTTTCCTCCCTTTTCCTTTTGTTACACCAGCATTCTGTACAGAGTTACACTTTCCAAAGGAGTCCTGGTGTGGTGCTGTGGGTTAAGCACTAGACTGCTAATCAAAAGGCTGGTGGTTCAAACCCACCAGCTGTTTCTCGAAAATCCTATGCAGGGTCGCTAGGAGTCAGAAGTGACTCAATGACTTAGCAACAACAATGTTATTGTGGTTATGGGCCACTGAGTCGTTTTTGACTCTTCGTGCCCACATGTCATTTTCTTGGCCATAATCTTTACATGAGAAGTCTGCTAGGGCTTTCTTCCATGGAGCTGCTGGGTGGGTTCAAACAACGAATCCAAATGCAGTCATGATAGTCATCATGATCTACTGAGCATTTGCTATGTACGGAGCTCTTGTAGCGTAGTGGTTACAAGTTGGGCTGCTAACTTCAAGGTTAGCAGCTCGAAACTACCAACAGTTCCATGGCAGAAAGATGAGGCTTTCTGCTCCCGTAAAGATTTACAAACTACCAAACCCTATACAGGGTCGCTATGAGTCAGAACCAACTCCATGGCACACACCACCAACAACAACACCACCAGGCACTAGGAAGCTTCGACTGCTTCCCAATGACTTCGCTCAACACCACCACGAGGTGGATGAATAGTAATAAGGAGCCTGGTCATGCAGTAGGTTATACTTTGGGCTGCTAACCATAAGATTCAAATCCACCAGCCTCTCACAGGAGAAGGAAGAGGCTGTCTGCTCCTGCAAAGATCTGCGGTCTCGGAAACCCTAGGGAGCACACTTCTACTCTATTCCACAGGATCATTATGAATCACAACCAACTTGATGGCAGTGGGTTTTGTTTTAATAAGTGGTGGCAGAGCTAGAGTTCAAACCTAGTTAGCGTTTTCTCCCTTAAAATATTGACTCTTCACCTCTCCCATAGCAGCATGCAAGAGGTCAAAAGGGAACAACCAGGCCTATGAAAGAACAAGTACTGGTGGTCAGGAGACAAAGTCACACTCCCTTGCCTATGGCCACATCTCTCTTGGAGACACTAGCCCCTCCCATGAGCACTTGTAGCTGTCATACAGCTTAACCTGAGAAGTTTGCTCTGAGGTGGAATCCTCAGAGAATTTAATGATGTTAATGATTAATGTTTTTCTCGGCCCTCATCCAATAGGAAGTCTCATAATTGTGCTTCTAGTAAACTACTAGCTAAACTCTGGCAGGTGTTGGGTGAAGTAATAATGGTACTTGTTAGTAGCACTCATGGAAACCATTCTGATTCAAAAACTCAAAAGTCAGGCAGGCCCCTCAGGGTTTTCTTATCCAACCTCTCAGCCTGGGAAACATTCTCCTCCAGCAAAGGGGCCAACTCACCATCCAGCTTCACACTCCAGGTCATGTGGAAGCCATTGGTCATCAGGTAAAAATTCTTCATATCTTCAGGCAACATACAGTTATTTTTCTATAATCACAAAGCAGCTGAGTATTAGGTGAGGGCTGGGCTACACTTCAAAGCAGATCCTGAAACTAGGAGACTGTGATATTACCCTATAAACTGCTCTCACAGAGGCTTTGAGGTCAACATAGTAGAGTCACTGATTTGATCTTGTTTTTGCCTCACCAGACCAGGGAGACTAGCTGTCTACTCTGTCACGATAAGGCCTCAACAGAGAGCTATTTGGGAAGGAGATGACTAGAACTGGTTGAAGAGGAAACTTAGAGGAAGACCGTGAGAAAGTCCTAAGCAAAGTATGACGATGTTAGAACAAAGTAATTAACATAAATTTTAGATCCATGCTCATAAATTATTTCCTGAAACAAATTATTGGAAAAATAAGAACATCTTACACATGGAGAGTATGTACTTCTAGAGCGTTTAGTGCAATTAGCCTATTCTAATCGTGACAGTTCTTCAGAGCAAAAAAAAAAAAAAAAAGATGAAACTAGATAAATTCTAAGTAACATACAAATTAAGTAGCCTTTATGCATATTCACAGGCCTGACAAGTCTTCACTAGTCAACCAAAGCAGTGGTATGCACAGAATGCCTTTCTCTCATGCCAGGCACCCTGACATGAGAGGCCTACGGTAATCAGTATTCTGACTAGGCTTTTGGTCCTTCTGTGGCCAAAAGCCCAGTATCCACTCTGCAATTTGGTCAGTTTGCCATCTAGTGGTAGAGACAAGGAAACTACTGTTTACCTGCCTTTTCTCTCTGTATGTGTTCAATGAAGTAAGTTCTGGTGGCTTCATTCTTTTTTAGAACATTAAATGTTTTATTAAATCTTTTTATAATGAATGCTGATCATTGTTGAGGATATCCGTAGCAGAATACACATCATTTCAACAATTTCTACATGTATTTATCTTTTTATAATTGAGTTTTGTCACTGTTGAGAACATTCATAGCAGAACACACCATTTCAACAATTTCCACATTTAAAGTTCAGTGACACTGACTACATTCTCTGAGTTGTGCAGCCATTTTCATCCTCTTTTTCTGAACTCTTCCTCCTCCGTTAACATAAACTCACTGACCACTAAGGTTCCTGTCTAATATTCTGAGCTACTATTGTCAATCGGAGATTGTAAAGATACATCTTAAAAGAGCACAAAGCTCAAGGCAGACAATCTTTACTAGTTAAGCTATTGCTGGGTATTAAGAAGACTTCGGGGCATATTTTGGTTTAAGGTTTAAAGGTTATCTCAGGACAATAGTTTCAGAAGTTCACCTAGCCTCCATGAGAATTTGAAATTCTGTTCTACATATCCCTTCTTTATCAAGATTCTTGCACAAAATTTCTGGTAAAAATGTTCAGTAATGGTAGCCAGGCCTGTAACAACAGCAGAGCCATGAATAGGAGCAGGACATGGAATGTGTGGTTAATTGCCTCTCTAAGGAACTGCCGCCTTTGCTGTGTTGGATGGAGTCCACCTACTGGCCTTTCTTAACAGGGGCCTGACAATGTACATCTTACATTAAGGTGGAAGATTCTAGTAATGGTGACTGTATCAGTTATTATAGCATTTATTCCATCCAAGAAGGAAATTTGGGTATTATTTTATACCAGTATTAAAAAAAATTCAGAATAAAAAATAAATCCATGAAATCAAATATTTAAATCATTTTCAATACTGGAATTTATAAACATACAAAATGTCAAGCATAGAAATCATATAAAAATTAATCCTACATTATAATTCTAACATAAATTATTGGTGACCCCTGGCTCTGCTGCTTCCTTGGTGTTTTGTCCTGGGCAGAAAGTCCAAAGGGAGGGATGAAAGTGCAGACTGGTTATAAAACACTAGTGCTGCATTCACACAGATCACAATCTCTAGTCCAATGATGGCTCGGCTACAAATCCACTGTCTCCATGTTCCCCTCCCAAGAAGGCTATCTACTACAGTCTCACCGAGCTATTCCAGAAGAATCCACCACAAGCTGAGTCACTTCTTCATCAGCAGGAGCCTTTCTTAGGTTTTGGGAGCTGTCGTGGATTAAACTGTGTCCCTCCAAAATATGTGTCTAGGGTCTGCCATGATCCCCGTTATTGGGTGGTGGTTCCCCATTTCTGATCTGATGTAGTTATCTTCCAGTTTGTGATATGTGTTGTAAATCCTAAGCTTTATATGTTACTGAGCTAGCATTAATGTGGGGTATATCTTGGGGTAGACCTTATAAGAAGGCATGACTCCAGTCCCACCCTTGCTTGAGTCACACATTTTATTTTATAAGACATAAAAGAAGACAGACTCCTGGTGTGGCACTGTGGGTTAATGTGCTGGACTGCAAAGTCGGTTTGAATCTCAAAGTTGGTGGTTCAAAGTCACTAGCCGTTCCGCGGAAACCCTATACAGGGTCACTATGGGTTGGAATCGACTCAACGACACTTAACAACAACAACAAGCAAAGAAGAGAGAAGTAAGCAGACAAGAGGGACCTAACCACCACCAAGAAAGAAGAGCTGGGAGCAAAGCATGCTCTTTGGACCTGGGTCCCTGCCCTCAGAACCTCCTAGAACCCGGGGAAAAACTGATACCAAGACACAACTAAGCCTACAGATGTTGAAAGGAGACAAGGATCTTCCCCCAGGGCTAACAGAGTACAACTGATGCCCTGCATTTGGATTTCTAGCTTCCTAACCTGTGAGAAAATAAGTTGTTTATTTAAAGTGATCCACTTGTGCAATTTCTGTTGTAGCAGCACTAGAGAACTAAGACAGGAGCTATCAGCTGGATTCTTGGAAAACTTTCATGAGCACTACCTAAGGAGCTCTGGTAGCACAGTGGTTACGAATCGGGCTGCTAACCTCAAGGCCGGCAGTTCAAAACTACCAGCTGCTCCGCGGAAGAAAGATGAGGCTTAAAGATCAGTTTGAACTTCAAGATTAGTGGTTCAAGCTCACCAGCCGCTCCTCAGAAATCCTATACAGGGTCGCTATGGGCTGGAACTGACTCAATGGCACTTAACAACAACAACAACAACTGGAGCCTCAAGGGAAAGGCTAAGGATTCATTCTTCCTTTCTGCTCACCTTGTCTATGTCTGGGAAATTCTGCAGCCAGTGCTCCCTCTCCTTTTAGAGGCCACTTGAGCAGGGAAGGGGCTAGGAGGCAGATGCAAGATTGCTAACAAACAAGATGCTATGGATTGAATTGTGTTTTCCCCAAATTATATGTTGGAATCCTAATCCCTATACCTGTGGATGTAATCCTATTTAGAATAGGGCTTTCTTAATTATGTTTGTGAAGCCGTATCAATGTAGGATGTGCCCTAAACTTTATCACTTCTCTGAGTTCTAAGGAGCAGCACAGACTTAAGAAGACGGATGTCACATGAAGACCACCAAGGAACTGAGGAACACTGAGGCTATGGAAGCTGAATGAGACAAGCAGCGTCCTTAGAACTGACACACAGACAACCATTCCCAATAGCTCGAATCCAGAATTCAAATTTTCTAGCCTCCTGAACTGTGAGAAAATACATTTCTGTTCTTTAAAGTCATCCACTTGAATGTTTCTGTAGGCACTTGCCCATGCTGGGCAGGATCTCCATGAACCCATTTGTAACCACAATCAGAGGGCTAGCTAGACCCTTACTGGAAACATGAAGTACTGAAGACAACTGCTTCTATGCAAACTCCTCTCAGAAAGGCCGTGAGTGTGGTGGGAGAAAACCCCAGATGGGCTGAAGGCATGGACTCAGAACACCAGAATTCTTAGTGCAATGTCAAACACCCTCCTTCATCTAAAGAGGGTGGTTATGAATTGGGCTGCAAACCTTAAGGTCAGCAGTTTGAAACCACCAGCTGTTCCGCAGGAGAAAGATGAGGCTTTCTGCTCCCGTAAAGATTTACAGCCTCAGAAACCCTGTACAGGGTTGCTATGAGTCAGAACCAACTCCATGGCACATAACCACCAACCACCACCTTGAAGTAAGGCCAAGTGGAGGGCTTGGTTCAGTCTGGGGTCAGAGCTGAATTGCTTAAGACTCAGAGTAGTAGCAGCATAAACAACAACAACAAACACAAATCCACTTCCATCAAGTCGATTCTGACTCATAGCCATGGAGACTGTAAATCTTTATGCAAGCAAACAGCCTCACCTTTCTCCCAAGGAGAAGCTGGTGGGTTTGAATTGCTGACCTTGCAGTTAGAAGTCCAGTGCTTTTCCTACAGCACCACCAATGTTCCGTACTCTTCCCCAAATCACTTTCCCTCTAAAAATACACGATGAAAACCATATAAATATTGACCTGTGTGTGGGTTACCACATGTCTTTGTATAGCTCTGTGAATGGCAGACATCAGCTCATCCAGAACAGCAGTGTCCTCAGGCTTAACCAACCACTGAGATTTTACAATTGGGGAGATAGTGGGGGAAGTCTTTGAACTTGCAGATGGTGCCAGTGGTAGCCTCACTCAAAGTACTGAGAGGAAGGAATGCCTGTGGAAAGTAGCTGGGTGACCCTGGGAAAGTTCCACACTCTTTCTGACCTTGGTTGTTTTTCTTAAATTCAAGCTCATTCATTAATTCATCCATTCATCTGACATTTATTAAGTATCGCTTATGGAATAAATCATGGGAGAAAGATAAGGCTTTCTGTTGCAAAGATTTCAGCCTCGGAAACTCTATACAGGGTCTCCATGAGTTGCAACCAACTCCACGCCACTTAACAGCAACAGTGGAATCAATACTGTGCTGGGCACTAGAAATAGAATAGGAAATGAGACAAGGTGCAAGGGACTGTGGAGGACACGTGGGTTACTTATTCAAATCCATCTTCCTTCTTGAGAGAACACTGATTTTGTTGGAGATCATGTCGTATTTATCTAGTGTTGTTATAACAGAAATAACTCCAAGTGGATGGCTTTTAAGGACCAGAAATTGATTCTATCAGTTTAGGACATTAGACTTCTGAACTCAGAACACCAGCTGTGGAGAAAGGCCCTTGTCTCTTTT